AATGAAAGCTGCGCGGTCAGAGGCAGCATCAGCACCGGAGCTTCCCGCGGCTCCTCCTCGCCTGTGTGGCCGCTCGGAGCGTCGCGTCTGCGGGGCTTTGATGCTCCGTTTACCGGCTTGTGTGACGTGTTGGCCGCTGTAAACGGGAGATGATAATAATAAAAAAACGAATAAAAGAATAAGGGACAGTAATAGTTAAACGGAATATAGCCTCTCCTTTTTTTTCCTTCGCTGCTTTCGGATGAGAATAATCAGGAGAAAAGAAAGAGAGAAAAAAGAAAGAAAGAAAAGAAGTCGGTAGGACAGAAGGAGAGTGGCACCTGATGATGGCGGCTCTGACACGTGTTAATTGCTGCTCAGCTCTCCTCATCAGGGAGCCTCAGATGATTGTAGCGCTCCGGGGGCCACGGCGCCCTGTTTGCTTTGCAGAGGAGAGGGAGCTGGCCCTGACTTCAGGTCGCACAAATAAACACTTCTTTTATTATTTAACAAGGCGCGCGGGCTTTTTACTTACCCGGAAATGAACGCAAATTAGGAAAACTGTTGCGAATGAATCCCATTTATGTGTTTAAGCAGATACAAACATAAAAAAGCGATTTTTCCCCCCCTTGTATAATGCATGTGATTGCATTTTTTATTATAACTACCTGGATCTGTACTGAGTTGTAACCTTATTTTTGTTTGTTTGTTTGTTTGTTTTTTGTGTGCAATGGTGCTAAATAAACAATAAATGAATAAGTTAACTTAATTACAAAATACATTCCAGTTTGATTCTAAAAAAATAAAAATCCGAGCTCTCATGATAAATTCTAATTGTTCCTTTATTCCAAAACACGTTTCAATTTCATCTTTTTCATTAATGATGCATAAAAAAGTGACAGTGATGCCAAATCAATGTTCAAAAATCTGATTAAACTGGATATATTGAACCATGAAACACATTTATTTTGCACCCAATCAGACTGATTTCCCTCATTTAATATGTTTTTCCACCTCCTCACTGGAAACGCATTTGCACCTTAGGCCACATGTGAGCAGGAGGGGGGGGGGGGGGGTCCTCCTGCTCTCTGCTACATTACCTGTTGTGTTTTATGGCTTTGCATGGTGAGTTAGAGGGTCTTTGTTGTTGCCCGGGCAGCTTGGGCTTGGGCCCACTTGTTTATGACACCAGTAATGCTGGTAATTGTTATTGTTGAGATTACCTGTCAAGAAGACCAGGATAGGACAGGAGGGTAGGGATTGGGG